TGGAGATGAGTTTCATTACATACTAAAGTGCAGCTTGCTACAAACAGAAAGAACGCTATGCTTAACAGAAAAACACATAAAATTATAGAATATAATAAATTTCAAAAACATTATGAATAACAATAAACACTGCTTTCTCAGAAAATTGTGCTCCTTTATAAAGAAAATGAATGAAATATGCTCCCCGGCCTAAATTCCCATACTGCATATTTATAGCAACCTACTTTTTTTGTTTAATTTCCTATCCACACGCATGCCTTTAAGACCTACTGTTATATATATAATCACCTTTATGTTTTTTGTAGTCTCAGTATATCATTTAAGGAATGAATTCAATAGCTACCCATTTTATACGGTATAAACTGGGTTGGGGCAGTTTACGCTTTATAAACCGCGAAGCGGTTTATAAAAAAGCGTTAACTGTTCCAACCCAGGATATAAAGTAATTTTGTTCTAATCAAATACAGCGTTACAGCCTGAATTAAATTATTGTAATATGGTGAAGAGATTAAAATAAATGATTGTATGGGCAGTTTACGCTTTATAAACCGCGAAGCGGTTTATAAAAAAAGCGTTAACTGTTCCAACCCAGTTTATACCGTATAAAATGGGTTCCAAACCAGTTTATACCGTATAAAATGGGTAGCTATTAAATTCATTGCTTATAATTTAATTTTCATTCATTCGTTGTAAAATGACTTCAATTTGTACAAAATTTGAATGTAACGTCATGCAGGTGGATTGATACGTTTTTGAACCAAGTCATTGTGATGTAGGCAACCCATTTTATACAATATAAAGTATTTTTTTCTAATCAAATACAGCGTTACAACCTGAATTAAATTATTGTAATATGGTGAAGAGATTAAAAAAAATGATTGATTGGACTATAATAAGCTATTATCGTACACGTTTGCCATTGCAGATTATAAAGTTTGTAAAGCTGAATTAAAATAGTAGTATATCTGTGTCCTTATTCATTTGATTAGCGCATTTACCTCTTCCTGTATGAGACATCACAAATGAGGAACGGAAATCTTCTTGTTTCCATGGCAACAAACCTCTACTTATTAACGTCTTCCGTCTTCACGGAAGACCTTCCAATGATTCTACTGTTTATTATTATTATTATCACTCTTATTTTTCCCCAAAATTTTGTGCAGGCGATTTCTGTAAACTATTCAGTGGATTTCAATGAAACGTTCAGGAATTATGCGTCATTATATGAACTTTCTTCGTCAGAAGGAAAATTTGGAATACCCATCTTCGGTTCCAAGATATTGACAGTTTTCTGATTTTTAAATGGATTTCTGTCCCCCTTTTTCAAAAATGGCTGAAGATATTAACTGGAGACTTAGAGATGATAGATGATGACTTTTAGGTATGCGAAATTACCTTTTTGTGCGTCGTTAGTACTTCCGGTTGCTACTGGAAGCGAAATTAAAAAGTCTGCATTTTCTAACGTTTTTGTTTATCAATATTTTTCATTTCTTTTTGAAAAGCGAATTGAGTTCCTTCTTAAAAAGCTAAATATATAATTTGTTTCAATATTGGTTAACCTCAACTCTAGATATTAAGTAAACATCCTTATCTGAAGTCTGAAGCGTGTCCAAAATGGCGGCTGTCTCCGTCAACTCTGCCATTTCGCAAGTTGGGGTTGGGGGCAGCTAGCGTTTGATTAAATGTAACTAATATAAGGATAACTGAAATGTAAAAGACTACTTGGATTGTCACGTAATAGTTACGTTGTAACTCTGTGTCAAACTAAACTTTATTGCCGTTTCACTGCTTTATTTTTACTTGGCTAGATACGATTGGTGAAGTGTAGAATGATTTAAATATGCTTTCTAAACCTCGAAATGAAATATAAGCGATAAGAACGTTCTATTCTTTTATTTCATTGAAGCAATCACACCTACTTAATATAACATTACAAATAAAAGACGCGAATATTTACTCTCGGCGTTTGGCGCAACATTATAAACAGTGACCCGCCTTTTATAAATCTAAGACAGATGTACTGATGTAGAAGTATAAACAAGTAAAGTTAGAGTAGAGGTCTAAAAAACGTAATGGATAGCTTGTTGGATTTTCACGCTGGTCACCCAGGTTCAGTTATTTTTTTTATCCACTTTTCAGCTCGATTTTACGTGGTTATTTTCCAGAATCGGACGGAAGACCTCTCGTTGCTCGCAACTAGATCGTATTTAGTAATATAATTATTTCTTAATTTCATTGTCAGGTGAACATCTTTTTCTTGAATGGTTGGAAGATTGAAAAAGGTCCGTGTCCTACGTGTACAGCAGCAGATAAAGGATCAGGTTCAGAAAGAAGAAAGCTATTAATACAACAGAAACATAATCAAGAAATGTTTGGGAAATGGGAAGCCGAAGTTTACGATCAGACCATGACTGCATTATTTATTGATAAAACAAGAACAGTTAATGATGTTTCTAAAGACGTAGTTCTTATTGTGGGTGAAAAAGATGGATGGGAATTGATAGGTTCGAGATATCTCTTGATTTTAATTTATTACGCGAGGAATTTGACATCATGTAAGTTTCAATTCAGTAAGAGTTATATGAAATAAATCTGAAAATCATATGCCATCAACTCTTTGATGTATTAATATTTAGTTTAACGTGAGAAATATTGTAAAATTAACACTCAAGTTTATCACAGTTAACGTGGTTATGAAGTCATATAAATATTGGTAAATAAAAAATAGATATATATATATTACTTTTATATATGATAAATTGATTCCTTGACACTGTTATATAACTTCTTTCATAGGCTTAATAGCTCTTTAGATGTCTCAATGACACTTCTACCTGTAAATCGTTACATCAACCTTCAGGTAAAGGTAGAATCAGGAATTAGAAATGACACACACAGACCAAACAGAAGTCCAATTGTTCTTGTGAAACCTTTATATAGGTAAATATTTCAATATTCTTTATCTCATTAACATGCATGCATTGGGTACATGGCACAATTAGATTTAATAAACAATATAAAATGGCTTTCTGAATTTAAAAAGAAGGTACCTTTTTTTACATTTTAAAAATCAGTTTGCTAAACGTAGAAACTATTGAGAAAGCAGATTATTTCCTTTTTTTAAATTAAGGCAGTAATTAAAAAAAAATTATCTGAAACCGAGACAGGCTACAGAGAGATAAGTTATTGTTAAAGGAATATCAACACTCTCTTTGGAAATGATGAAAAAGAAAAATATAGAGTTGGTCCAAAGAGATTATACTTATGTGAAAGCTTTCATACATAGAACAGATCCCATATAATTCATTCCAAAACACTCTCTGAGATAGGGTGGGGTCACAATAAAGCATCATCAAATATTATACAATTATGGATTCTTTTGGTGTTGAATATGGTTTGTTATTCACCAGAAAAATATTCATATCGACCGAGGTGAAGCCGAGGTCAATATAAATATTTTTTCTGGTGAATAACAAACCATATTCAACACCAAAAGAGTCCATAATTGTTTTATTATATAGTCCGAATTTGAATAAATAAGACATTGAAGGCTGAATGACAACACCATTTTCATTTACGAAATTCTGTCGTTGAAAAATATGTCCAGATTACAGTTTGTCCTCACCGTGTTTTCCTTTCCGAATTTCGCTACGTGTAAAACGTCCAAATGATTAAAATTAATTCTGCAATAGGTTTGTATATTTTCCCTGCGTAGAAACTCAGGTCGTTTTGGCCGTTACATCTATTGTTTACAGTTTGATGTATTGATTGTGACCTCACAATGCAGCTGCACGCTCATTGACCCTCCGGAGAATACGGCCTCAAATCCAGTGAATATGTAGTGTTGTGAACTGTTTGCGCTTGTAAAGATTAAATAGGAAATATAAATAGACTATATAATAATTAGAATAATGACAGTTAAAATCCATAGCATTTTTTTTTTTTAAAAGACAACAAAATAAGGAAGAAAAATTTTTCAAAGCTATAAATAGCCTTTTTTTCAATCTCATGAATCATTTTAACAAAATGGAAACTTGACGAAATAAGGATTTTTATGGAAATACCAGAAGTGGAGAAATTCCCTCCTTTATTGAGTGGTCAAACCCACCTCATATACTGATCAGGTGAATTGAATTTGGGGCAAATTAGTAATTAAGCGTTTTATATAAAACAAATGTTTGGGGAAAGAATTTCAATCGGGGCAAGGCAAGCTACATCCTAAGTTCTGAAAACAATTTCCTTGTATGCAAATTAGGAAAATTACATGTATTGTTGACTTTTGGGTCAAAATCGAGGAAATAAAATTCATAATGAATGAATACGGGACAAAAGAATTTTTTTTTGCAGCAATGTTGTGTTTATCAGATTGATAGTGAAAGATTCCCTTATTTTTTTTTATTCAAGTTACATTATATATGACCAAAAAGGCCGAATATTAGGCCACTATATCTTGTTATTCAAAAGGGAATAAAGAGGAGGAAGAAATTTGTTTTTTAAATTTTACTCTAAATTGGATAGCCAAAGTTACTCATATGAGTGTTTGGGATCAACGACTTAAATGTTTTTTTTTTTTAAAACTCAGTTTAGAGATAGGGAAGATACACACGATACATCTTACTTCCGTTGACAATGATGGAGATGCAATACGCTGTGAGAAATCGTTGTATTGGGAATCTTCAGGCTTCGGAGAATTTGTAAAGAATTTAACAACGCAAAATCTGTTGTCCCTTAATCGAATGGTGTGTATTACTGCAATTATTTTAAACGTGTAATTTTTAACGTTTTTTTACCGTGAATTCTAGAGATTTTTCTTGCAAATAGTCTTAGACTAATGTGGAAAGAAATCATGTAAAATATATGTAAAATCTTTCTTAATTCATATTTTTTTATTTTTTGACTTTTCTTCAAGACATGTGTTATGAGGATTAATGTCAGTCAAAGCTATTTTCATGAGAATGACACATTCGGTGTAGCAGTCACGGTAAAAGATTACGGTACACATCCGTTATCAATTCAGAGTACAATACTGGTGCCGCATATTCCATATATCAACGTTATTGGAAGGGTTGTGGCATTGGTACGTTTAACAATAACAGGAAAATTCATTTTCATTTCATAACGACGTGAAATTGTCTACCTTTCTTGTAGCAGAAATGCAACAAATGATAATATTTTGAGAGTAATAACTATTTTGCAAAACTCAATCTAATACTTAAGACTACAGCATACACTATATCACAATTTAGGGTACAGGGCTAATACTTCAAATCTCTTACTCTTGGAAGTTATATCTTAAACTAAAAAAAGGAATTTATAAAAATCGTACGAATCACTTATTAGGTTATTTCCTAAATACATAAATAAAAAAAACGAGGGTGTAAATACTTCATGCAAACTTTTTTTGAAGATGTATTTCAAAATAACTGGGAAAACAGACCCACCTGAAATTATACCACCAACTCCAAGAAATGACCAGGAGTATACCATTTATGTTGGGGGAGATTTGCACGTCGATGTATACGCCAAAGCATCAGCTGGCAGGTCAAGTTTTTAAATGTCTTAAAATTTTCTCGATTAATCACTTTTTAATGTATAACCCCCCATTTTTAAACATTATTTTAATTTTAGGCATATAGTGCGATTTGATTTCCTTCGACCAGATGGAAAACCTGTCAATCAAACGAGCATTCTACCTGCACCTAATATCAGTAGTAATGCTGTATTTATATCAATATCCTGGTCTCCTACAGAACTAGAAAAAGGTCATCATATTTTATGTGCAAATGCTGAAGATAACAAAGGGTAAAGCAAAACATAGTTGAATAAATATTAGTTAAAAGCATAGGACTCAGCCTGTTTAAGATAACTTTTATTTATTAGTGAACACAAATCATTATACATGCAGTACATTATAGATGGAGATTGCAATTGAACATTATTAAATAATATTTAATTTCTTTATGAAAAAGCAAAGAAAATAACAATGTTAAAGAAATTGAATGTAAATATAGAAATATGGTTTTCATAAATATACATAAATTGATATGAAAAATATAAAAAATACCAGTCCCTTTTTTCTTTATTTTTATAGGATAATGACTGTGGACTTGCACTGCTTTCGCATCGTGGTCAAAGGTTTGTGCATTTTAAAAAATATCACAGAGAGTTTTTATTTTTATTTTATAGAAATAGCCTCAAATTGGTTATACTGGGTAGTAAAAAAAGAAATTACTATAGTAGAATGAAATAGAAAAACGAAATTATAGGTCTGAAGCTGTTAAGGGTTGTCAACACTCCATGACTTGTATGAAATTCATGGCCCTGGATTCAGGGGTTCAAGTGCTAGGGCGGGGCTAAATAAGTAGGTAGTGAAAATGCATTATTTCTTTGAAAATCTTCTTCTCTGCTCCTAGGTATTAAATAAACTAAGTGCATAGTTATGGTGAGCAAGAGTGCCTCTACCAAAATTGTGAATTTTATGGCCCCAGGGTCAAGGGCTCTGGTGTAAGGGTGGGGCTCCATAGATTATATAGTGAAAATACATGAATTCTTTGAAAATCTTCTTCTCTGCTCCTGGGTAATAAATAAACTAACTAAGTACGTAGTTATGATGAGCAAGAGTGCATCTACCAAAATTATGAATTTTATGGCCCCAGAGTCAGGGGTTCTGGTGTAAGGGTGGGGCTCCATAGATTATATAGTGAAAATACATAAATTCTTTGAAAATCTTTTTCTCTGCTCCTGGGTATTAAATAAACTAACCAAGTGCATAGTTATGATGAGCAAGAGTGCCTCTACCAAAATTGTGAATTTTATGGCCCGAGGGTCAGGGGGTTTTGGTGTTAGGGTGGGGCTCTATAGATTATATAGTGAAAATACATGAATTCTTTGAAAATCTTCTTCTCTGCTCCTAGGAATTAAACAAACTAACTAAGTACATAGTTATGATGAGCAAGAATGCCTCTACCAAAATTGTGAATTTTATAGCCCCAGGGTCAGGTGTTCTGGTGTTAGGGCGGGGCTCTATTGATTATATAGTGAAAACGCAGTACAGTTAAGGTGCGCAATGGAAATATCGACAAAATATTGTATTTAAAAATGTATTTGTAATCGGGATGGCGATCATTATTTATATCGAATAATTGTAATTATGATTAATAACTACATATCGAGGACGATTATATTTTATATTTAATCTAGTCACGTGATACGACAGTCACGCGATTTTAGCACATTGACTTGCAGTATTGATGTTACATATAAATATCACTAGTGCAAGGGCATAACCAAGTTAAATTTCCAAGTTTAGTATATAAATATTTTCAACACGCATTCTAGTTTCTAAAAAGTGCTGCGATCCTGTTTAAATTCTGCAATTTAATTATTAAAATTATATTTGTATGACCGAATGCTATATTTTTTATGGTCAGCGGCATGAAATATTGAATCAGATATAATTAAATCATTTTTAAGATTTCATCAGGATCGAAGCACTTTTCAGATACCTTAATAGTTATAGAGATGAATTGTAAAATCTTACTTTGATCCATAGAATGAATGCCCTTGCACTAGAACGATTTATTAAGACCCCCACATAACTCTCCGATGTACTTGCATACAAATATACGACAGTGTCAATAAAATACGTAATGTGCAGAAAATATATTAATAGAATAGTGAAGAAGACAGTAAATTCAAGTTGTTGGCTTATAGCATATCTGTAAATAATATTTTATTTAATTAGAGATTACATATTTTGTTGAGAAAATATTACTTGATCTGTCTCTCACTGCATACAAACTACGTCACGTTGTAAGAAATGACGTCATATTGACAAGTGTATTGCGATCAGTGACTCGTTTATAACTTGTTATGTGGGATTTAACTAACGACAAAACAGCATGCTATAGTAAGTTTTTATGTAGTTTGATGATTTCTTACTGGTTAGATTAGCTTATCAACTCATTTTGTGGTATTTTAAAGAAATATTGTATGACGTATATTGTGTATGATGTCATAGTCAAGTTTTCCCATACGAATTAGGCTTCGCCTCCTTTTTGTAACCTTAACTGTGCTGGTCTAATTCTTTTAAATTTTCTTCTC